GCCGGCCCTCGGACCTGGCAACTCAAAGCTCAAGCCACGGCACGAAGTCGCATCTCCCGAGCCTTGCATCTCCCCGCAACGTTGGCAAGCGCAGCGTTGGCAACGATGCAGCACGTTCCATGGGCGGGCGTTGGGCCGAGGCCTTGCAACCCGGGATGCTTGGCTGTTCTGAATGTGCGCGAGTTTTCCTGGATAAGAATGCATGTTAATGTTCAAAACAACAACGTATGAGGCATGGCTAGCCACTGCCTACCTCCACTTGAAGCACCTTGAGCCCACGCGCGCTAGTCTACCACTAGTTTTGGCAATCTCGAATGTACAATGCAAGGCCACGTCGCAAACATAATCATACCAGTGTTCAAAGTGAGGGCCACATAGTCCAAACGAAGAACAGTTGCCGTCCAAAGGAACGATTTCCAGGATTGTAATTGGACAGTCTATGAGGAAAAGATGCATTGAGCATAAACAAGTTTGTTGACGTGCAAAAGCTGTTGTTGTATCACAGTGGCGGGGTTTGGTTTCGCCCCGTGCCTTTCTCACAAGGAATGTAAGCACAAACCCCACTGGCCACCCCAAACATTCTCTTCCTACAGACAATGAGTTAATGAGTTGTGTTTTTCTCCACGCCCTTTGACGCTGAACGATTCAACAACAATGCGCCTCGGGCATGGCCCGCCTCGACACAGCAAGGCAAAGACAGTAGCCTCCGGAACGAGCTCGCCTTCAGCAAAGGCCAAGGCATGGACGAGCGAGTCGGCCCCGCGCGAGGGTGCGTTCCAACGGCGCCCGAGCGCGGGCAAGCGGCGTGTCGCCCAGTTACGAGACGGAGAGCCTTGCATAGCTCGAGGACGTCTAAGAATCTAAGTGTTCTGCCACGAGAAGGACGGGCAATGGTTCCCTTTTCAGAATTTTCCCTTGGTAGTCCATGGCAAAGGCGCCTGATGGAGTCTTTTTGGCCACAAATCACCATCTGGTGGCACAGTATGGGTGCTTGAAACAGCACTACTCTGTTTGCTTGAGGCTCCGCATTGAGGGCCAGTGACATGCATGTTTTGCAACCACGGGCTATGTGCCCCTGGAACTCAGTTGCCCAAAGGAGCCGGAAAGAAAAGCTTTCCATGTTGGGCCATGACTAAAAATAGACCAAGAAGGCGAAACTAAAGGCTCAAAAGGTCGGCTTTGGGCAAGTGAGCGAAGAATAATTCAAATTAGTTCAAAAATATGAAACCATCCAGGGACTTAAAGCTGTACGAACGCGGAGGGCCTGAAGTTCAAAATCACATGCAGGTCTCCCAGGCTCGTCCTAGACAATTGCATAATCCCGGAAATGTCGATAGTGCGGGGCAAGCAGAAGAGCGGCATTCGCTCAAAGCTCACCATGTTGTCTGGCAAGTCCTGGCTTTGCTTTGCCTGGTGCCAAAGCCTCATGCATAGCTCCAGTGTGTAGTTGTACACGAAGACTTCTGACAGGCCGCGCCCAATCAAAGACGTCAAAGGGGCGGAAGCAGCACACACCTGCATGGCTTGACAATCAATGTCAAGGAACATGTTCTTGCCCTGGAGCGCAACTGCTTGCTCCACAATCCTACGACCATGGCTCCCGTCCATGTTGGACTCTACAGACGAACTTGCTGGCGGATGGATACCGGCCTCGGGAACAGATTCAGAATGCCCACGTAAACTGCTCAGACCGTCATAGAGTTCGAGCTCTCTATCCACGTCATGGATCGCATCAGCTGCCTTGTTTCCAGCCAGCGACTGCAAGTCTGTGAAGTCACGCAGGCCAATGAGATGCCGGTGCTGCCCACTTGGCACTTGGTACGTGACTTGAAAAACCTCGGTGCGAAACTTGCTAGCACAACTGTCCACCAAATGTGTGTGAAACGCCTGGGCAACGGAGCTGGATCCGCGAAGAATCTCTTCTGCCCTCGCGGCTTCATCTCTTGCAACGAATTCGGAGAACCGCAAGCCTTGGTCCGTCTCAAGGGACGGGGAACAAAAAACATGCTAGAAGGGTCTCCCAGGTTGCTGCCATGCCATGCTGCCGCACGCGTCAAAGGGAAAATCAATGATCAAGCAAAATGATACATCGGGGGTTACAAAAATGATATTGAAGGCGCCTTGAGTGGAAGAGCCACCTCGCAGGAGCATGGCGGCCAGCTTGGGGCAGTGCTCTGTGAGCCTCAAGTCATCGTCCAGCTCCAGCACTGCCTCGCAGGTCAGCTGCAGCAAGCCAGAGGCAGCATCCAGCTGGGAGGAGACGTGACTTTCACGTAGTCGCGATGCGACTCTTTGTTCGAAGGAATTGTAGAGGAAGCGGACCAAGATGCCTGTCAGATTGGGCGAGGAACTACTTCAAAAGAACCGCAAAGGATTGGACAGAAGGCAACCACTTCCAAACAAAGTGCACTCCTGTTTGGCCTTTGCACCAAGAAACATTTCATGGCCTTCCGCTAAGTCCCACCACAAATTACCCCCGCCTACACAAGCAGCCATGATTAGCTCAGCTCCGAACAGCGTGCTCGGGTGCTGGAAGATGGTGCCGGCAGCGTCTTCTGCGTCGCCGAGCAGCGCCCGCAGCACCACAATACCGGCCACGCCCAGGTGGACCACGCACGCCATGAGCCAACTCTGGACAAACAACAGGCATGGCACCTTCGGGTGCAAAACAGGACTCCCCTTTTGAGAAGTTTGCTTCCCACGAAAGGGGGACCCAGAACATGAAACCTTCAGTGTTTTCAACTTTGGGTGGGAAGACAACATGAGACATGTGCTTTGATCACTCCGCCTGTATGACCCCAAGGCAGAAAAGCCGCACGGCAAAGGCGTGGGGCGCATCGCATCCGTTGGGGCTCAGCCAGACAGCCACAAAGACATGGGAAATGAGGCACCAAAGGTTCAGCGTGCGCAGCGTCAAGATGCCGGGCAGCCAAGTTGCAACAAGGCAAAAGCTGTAGAGCAACCCATTCCAAGTAGCCAAGGCTGTGAAGAACTGTGGCCGTGGATGGCCAGCAAGGAGGTTCCTCTCCAAAGAAGAGAGCGAAAGGCACAAAGTAGCCGCTCCGACAGAGAAGTAAGACTGTGCAAACTCCAGCTGCAACTGGGAGACCTGCTTGCGAAGGACCCGGTCTGAATCGCATGGCCTTTGTAGCCACTGACTCACCACGCCTGCGAATTTCGGCAGCTCACGGAAGGCCGTTGCGACACGCCGGCGCCACGGCCAAGCTTTCTGAAAGAACCGGACCACAAGCGCGAGTTGCAGCAGCGCGCAAGAAGCCAGGTAGGCCAGGTCGCCGGGGTCCCACATGAGGCTCATAACTCCAATTTAAGCTGTAGCCAGAGCCAAAACAAAACTTTCGTCTGATGCACTTTTGCTCCTGCAAACCTTTCCGACTCCTCCAAATCCTCCCTGTCTCCAAACCCTTCCAGGGAACTCCAAACCGCGTTTGGCTCGCAGCGCTGGCACAACAGACATTGGCAAAGGACGTGTCTGCACATTGTGACTCCAGCTTCCCCAGCGGTAAACCGTGTGGCCCGAAAACGAGTGTGGTTTGGCCGGCAATACCTCATTCCCTCAATGTCACCTTGCATCCTTTTGGGGAATGCACGCCTACATCCTAACAGGCACCCAAAAAAAACACAAGTGTTTAGAGATTGGGTGCGGATATATATTTTGTTTCTCCTTTGTTCGTCCGGGCCAGTAAAATGTTGTATTTTACAGCCCGCAACATCCCCCGCATCGTGTTCAACATCCCCCGCATGTCCGGCCAACATCCCTTGCATCACCAACAAATCGTGGGTAACAAAATCAAAAAAGTAGCTGGCGGGTTGACGGGTTCAAAAAAATGATGATTCAAATAGGAGGGCATTTCAATCCCTGTACAATTGAAAGCAAAAGTGATGATTCGAATAGGTCTGTAGAAAATCTAAAACGTAGCTGGGGGTTGGGGGGGCGGCAGCCCCCCCATGATGTTCGAAGAAGTGATGATTAAAGTAGGGGTGCAATGATTCAAAAAGGGTGCGATAGAATTGAACATGCAGCGGGAGGGTTGGCGGGGGTGGCTTCCCCTATGATGTTCGAAGAAGTGACACATACAGACATACATGGATTACATCGATTACCTAAAGTTTCGTATTTCACAGCTTTTCTCGCGAAATTGGACGCTCGAAAAAGTGATGATTCAAATAGGGGCGCAATTAAATCTCTGCAAGAAATCTAGAAAGTGGCGGGGGGGGCTGGGGGGAGGAAACCCTGATGTTTGAAGAAGTGATGATTCAAAAAAGGAGGAACTGGTGATGCTGATGATGCGTGAAGCCAAAAAGCACTGAAAGGATGCAAAAACCAAAAAGCCCGGAGAAGCAAAGGAAGCTGAAAGCCGCCAAAAGCCGCATAAACCAAGAAGCTGAAAAGCCAAAAAGCCAAGAAGCCAAGAAGCCGAAAAGGCAAGAAGCCAAGAAGCCAAAAGCGAGGAAAAAAACATGAAACAAAAAAAAAAAAACTTAGAGATTTCCTCTTAGGGGATCCCTTGCTACTTGAGCCCCATCTTAAATTGCAGAAAAATATGCATTCATGTCCCGTAGAACTTCTCGTCTCCAGCCCACGCCTTCTGGAGGAGATACGAAGGTCCATACCCTTCATGGAGAGTTATACCAGCGCAAACCCAAAGACGTTGTAAGAACAAAGTGCACTACGCAGCCAACAACGAATGTGTGTCTTCTTGAAGGGCCGCCCCAAACCCCAAATTCACAAAATTGTTATTTCCTCTTGGAACACTCTTGCGCTGCGGCGGTCAACACGCTTGTGCGACAACAGCGAACACTTTGTGCGCCGACACTGGCTACAGCAAGGGACATTCTTGTGCGCTGACAGGGAAGACACTTGTGCCAAAAATCAACACATTTGTGCGCCAGCAAAAACGGTGGGCGCGCTTATGCGCCAACAATGAACAGTCATATGCGCCAACGGTGAAAACGCTGAACACTGTAGTACGCCGGCGGTAAACACTCATGTGTGCGCCGACAAGGGGCACCTTTGTGCGCCGACAATGGATACGCTTCGCAACCAACAAAGAACACTCTTGCGCGCCGACCGTGAACACGAGTGCGCGCAAACAAGGAATACTCTTGTGGGACACTAAGCAAAAATAAAAGCCTTCTGCGCAATGCTTGGCACGGCAGCATCTTGAAAGCGACTATCCCGAAAAAGGGGCAGGCCATCAAAGCAAAGGACGACTAAAGGACGCCAATCTCACAGCAAAGGACGACTGAGCGCTGCGGGCCGGCGCGCTACCTCATGCTCAGCAGCCCGCGGGTGAGGGTGGCCATTCCGGCGCACAGGCGGGACCAGCGTCACATCGCAGCAAAGGGAATCGCCGAGGCGAGTGGCGCCATACAGGACGAAGTCCAGACGCAGGCGATCACCTGCGGCGACCCAGGCGCGGTTGACGACGCGAACCCAAGCCTGCTCGATGAGGGCCGCGGCTGGCAAGAAGAGGACACGCAACAGCATGGTTGCCGAGGACATCGAGCTCCACCCCATAGCCAGGCACCCCGGCACCACCACACAACGTATACGCCAATGGGGCAGGCGAAGGCGTGAGCGTGGAAGGGTGCCGGCGTCAGTCAGGATGGCGGTGAGCCAAGCCCCGGCCTGAGACCTTGACTGTGACCGAAAGCATGCCCGGTCGGATGGCGACAGGGTGGGACGTGCGAAGCTGCCAACCATTTGGCCAGTCACCAGGATCACTTTCGTGATGAGCCGGCGGCGCAGCACGCCCCAGGACATGATGCCAAGAGGGGCAATCGTCCCAGCCGCGGTGGCGGAGCAAGCCGCTTCGCAGAGGCAGGGCACGGCGGCCTCATCCCTTATTTTATTTATTTTTTTCTTTGCGCGGGCCTTTTTCCGCAGCATCACAGCAGCTACGAGGTGAAACGCAACGAGCAGCGGGCGCAAGCTCAACCGGGCAGGCGGCTCGGCCTTACCAACCTTAGGTCGGCGTTGCGCCATGACGAGGAGGCAGCCCGCCCACGCGCCCCAGTAAATTCATGGGGCCGCGCGCTCCGCGCACAGCAGACCAAGGCCACCCACGCGTGCAGGGAGGACGCGCAGGCGCGGGCAGACCCAGGCTCGGCCAGGAAGAGTTCCAGGGTGCCCACGTGGCTTGGTCGTGGGCCGCAGCATACGCCGCCGACTGGGAAGGCGGCACTGTGCGGAGATGCTGAGCGTGCGGAGCGGCGCAGAACCAAGAGCAACAGCCATGCGGACTGGAGGTCAGGCAGCTGCGGGAGCTCGGTAAGCAGGCGCCCGGCTCGTTGGTCAGCAAGCCGCTCGCGTTGAAGAGCACGCTGGAGTCTCCTCGATCCTTGGTAAGGCCCGGTGAATTGCTTTGCGGGCGGCCGGCCTCCCCCAGGCATTGCCGAGTTAGGGCGAGGTGTGGCGTGGGCACAAACCATCGCCCGAGTGTGAACATCGGCTGGCCGAAGTCAACACGCACAGATCGTCCAAGAAGGCCGCCGGGCAATTGCCTGATCGGAGAGCGCGAAGCAGCGACCAGGCCGACGTGCTGCGCTACGGCAAGGGCCAGCGGGCCGCCGTGCACAGCCCTTTGTCTGGAGGATGCGATGGCAAACACCCTTGCTGTCCCACCGCAGGCAGACTGCCGTGCGTAAGCCTTGCACAAACGGCAAAAGCGCTGGAGCAACTTCCACGGGCTTGCGGAGGAAAGCATTCGCCCCTCCCCAGCCTTGGGCAGCGCGCGGGGCATCTGCTCCCACGTTTGCTGTTCGCGCGCGGGGTTGCAGCCAATGGTGGGGCTTGCAAGGCTGCGCTGCTCCAGCAGCCTGGGGGACTTCCACACAGGGCGAGCAGCCCGGCGAGCAGCCCGGCGGGGGCACCAGGGGCATTGCTACCGGCGATGCTCTCCAGCGCCTGGTCGCTCGCTCCCGGGCCCGCAGGTGCGCACAGCGCTTCGACGAGGGCACGCGCTGTGGAGCTCAATCTGGAGGCGATTGACGGCCGCATCACGGGCGGGACCACGGCACATCGACAAATAAGTGTCCGTAACCATTTTAGCTCAAACCATTTTGGCTCAAGTGTCTGGCTCCGGGCTCGCGTGGCTTTGTTCTTGGTTGTTGTTTTTGGCTGTTCCTTGTTCTTTGTCGGCGGGCCCTGGGCAGCGCAACGCGAACTTCATTGAGCTGGCGCACAGGGCCGGGCCTTGGTCGCCCATCTCTCGGCGACACGAGCACGGCATCGCTGCTTGGCAAGGTGCCTGGGCGTGCCCGCGTTGAGCGCGGGTGGCGTACACCGAAGATGCGGGCGCGCCTGCGGAAGCTGGAGCGGCGGCCCCAGTGGCGGCGGCGGCCCCAGCCGCGGCCGTATGCAACTCTGGGATCATGACGTTCCTAGTGGGACGGGGCGCCTGACGTGTGGGCGTCCCCTTGCGGTTTTGGCGTCGCCGCCCTCTTTGGGTGTCCGTCGGCACCTTCTGACGTCGACATTCCGAGAGCTGTGATGGGAACGGGCTGCGAGTGCAGCCTTCCAGTACCAGCTAATGCTTGGCGTGATTTTGTGCGGCCACTGAGAAAGACTTATGAGGCCACAGTGCTCTGCGTTGATGGGGTGGGGCTTTCGACCAGGCGAAAAAGCGTTATCGTCTGCCCTGTTTGCGCTCGCGCAGCACCTAGTTTTGCCGCAGCAAGTAGAACTACCAGATTGCCGACGGTCACCGGGCGTCGCTCTTGGATCACGGGTAGGGTGTCAGCCCAAAATGGCGGCTGCGCACCACCGACGTTCCAAGCGAGAGTGCCTGTGAGAGAAGGGTCGTTGCTCGGGGATGCTCGGGTCGCAGAGGCCGGTGGCCAGCACGCCTACCTGAACGGCAAGGCCAGGCAGAGCAAGGCGCGGGAGGCACAGGCCGCGCAACCAGGGCACTTGGGGCAAGCGGATCACGGCAAACGGGACGTCCTTGCCGGGCCCATGTATATTTCTATATTGATACATACATACATTTTGCAAATATAGAAGCAATATACACACATACTGAGACTATATATGTTATTTTTTTTGATTTGCCTGCCGTGCCCTCGCCATAGTTTTCTCCTTTCGCGTTGCTTGTTGCGCGCCAGCCGTGCTCGGCCCGGGCGCGTGCCGGCGGACGTTCGGCGTAGCCTTTGCGTCGCGCTGGCCCTTGCTCACCAAGGTGCATCACTACTTGTGGCCCGGCCCTCAATGCTGCTGGTGCGTGGGCTGTGGGGCCTGGATTCGTGCAGCGCTTGGTCGCAAGGAAGCCGCGCCGGAACTGTGGTGGCGCAAGGCTCACTGAGGGCGACTCGGACACAGAGCGCCACGACTTTGCCAAGC